AGGTGAAACTCCGTTTCAACTAAAAACCAGGCTAATTCATCTTCTTCCCACTTTCAATGGTCATTCCAATGAAAGATTGCACAAACATTTGTCATAATTTCATTTGGTCTGCTCAAGCATGAAATCTCAGGGAGTTTCCGATGACCAAATTAAATTAAGAGCTTTTTCTTTTTCTTTATCTGACATTACTAAAGAATGCTTATTCTACTTACGCTGAATTCTGTTCATACTTGGAATGATTTAACACGAATTTTTCTTGACAAATATTTCCCAGTAGCATAGGCAAGCTAACTACGAATAAATAAATATTTTGGGAATTAAACAAAAAGATGGAGCATCACTCTATGATTACTGGGAGCGATTCAAAAAGCTTTGCACAAGTTGTCCGCAACATGGATTAACTAAGCAAACCCTTCTTCAATATTTTTAGGAAATACTACTTTCTTTGGAAATGAAGATGGTCAACGCTGCCGCCGAAGAGCACTCATCAATATAATCCCACAAACAACACGAGAATTAATTTCAACAATGGTAACGACTTCACAACAGTTTGGCGCAACGTGTGAACCCATTTGACGGGTTCACAAGATAAATATTGTTTCAATAGAAAGTAAATTAGATAAACTTACTGAAGTAGTTAATTCTCTTGTTGTAGGAAAAATTAGGGAAGCTATATTGTGTGGGATTTGCGCAATCTCCGATCATCTGACGGATTGCTGCCCCGTTGCTTCAGGAAGATGGAGGCACTCAAGTTAATGTTGTAGGGAACTTTTCGAGATTTCCCCAAAGGCCCTACAACCTACACGACAATACATACAATCCGAGATGGAGAGACCACCTAAATTTCAATTACGCACAGGACCCGAGACCTAACCTGTCTTATCAATCGAGACCCCTAACAATAATCTTATCAGCCGCTGAAGCCATCGCTCGAGTCAATTGTTAAACTATTGGCTCTTTCCCAATAGAAGTTCCAGAATCGTACTGAGGCTTATTTACAAGATCTTGACAAACAGATGAGTCAATTAACTCAAGCTATGGGCCAATTAGAGTCAAAAGGTAAACTCCCATCTCAAACAGAGGTAAAATCGAGGGAAAATATGAGCGCAATCACCCTCTAGAGTGGGAAAGTTATAGCACAACCAGTTTTAAAGTGAGTAGGCACAAAATTCCAAGAGAAAGATGAAGACCCGAAATCCCAAGAAAAAGAAACAATAGTAGGCACAGACTCCCAGAGAGGAAGTGAGAATGATGCAGGGTCCTAGATAAAAAAGAAAAAAAAGATTTGCAAGAAGTCACACCACCATTCCCTTCCCAATTAATAAAAGAAGACAAACAAGCTAAAGAAAGAGAGATTTGGAAAGTTTTCCGAAAGGTAGAAATTAATATCCCTATTCTTGAATTTATCCAGAAGGTTTCACGATATGCTCAATCCCTTTAAAATTTTTGCACTACAAAAAGAATACTTACCAGGAACGAGAAGTTTAATCTTGGAGAACACGTTTCTTCAGTCTTGACTCAGAAACTCCCACCAAAATTGAAGGACCAAGATATGTTCGATATCCTATGTAAAATTGGTAAATTTAATATTACTCGTGCAATGTGTGATTTGGGAGCATCGATTAATTTAATGCCTTTATCTGTATACCACTTAACCTCTGCTGAGCTTTGAAGGATACACGAGTAACAATTTAGCTTACGGATTTTTAGCTTTGAAGGATACACCAGAAAAGAGTTTTGGAAGATGTCTTAATTGAGGTAAACAAACTAATCTTTCCAGCGGATTTTTATGTCATTGACATGGAAAATGACCAGAAAAATTCTTGTTTTGAGATTCTTCTTGGGCGACCCTTCCTTAGTACGAAAAATACGAAGATCAACGTAAGAAGCAAAACTCTTACGATGGAATTCGATCAAATCATTAACTTTGATGTATATAAGGCTATGCGATATCCAGATAAAGTGGAAATTTTAAATTTTGTAGATATTGTAGAGTCTGCTGTTAATGAGTTTATGCAATCTAACTTTGTTGATTGCTTATCTAGGGAATTGGACAAATTTGGTGAAGAGAACAGGGAGTTCGAAAAAACGTTTTCAATTTATTAAATAAATTCAAACAAGTTAATTACTCCATCTAAGACTAAGTTATTACATTCTATTGTGCAGGCTTCTCAAATCTAGTTAAAAGAATTATTGAAACATTTGTAGTATGCATTCTTGGGCGAGAATGAGACCTTGCCGATAATAATTTTGATTAAATTGTCAAAGGAGAAATATGAGGCCCTTTTGACTATTCTTCGCATGCACAAAGAGGCAATTGAGTGGACGATTGCCGATATAAAATGCCTTAGTCCCTCGACTTGTATGAACAAAATTCATATTGAGGAAGGAGATAAACCAACACAACAAGCGCAATGAGGATTGAATCCGTCGATGATGGAAGTGGTAAAAAAGATATTCAAAAGCTTTTCGATTCTGATATGATTTACCCAATTTCAAATAGTAATTGGGTAAGTCCTATCCATATGGTGCCAAAGAAAGCAGAGAAGTTACGGTAATTAAGAACTCGGAAGGTGAGTTAGTTTCAACTAGAGTTTAGAGAGAATGGAGAGTATGCATCAATTACATGAAGTTAAACTCTTCAACTCGAGAAGATCATTTTCCTCTTCTATTTATAGACCAAATGATTGAACGTTTAGCAGGAGAAACTCATTATTGTTGACTTGATGAATTTTCAGGTTTCTTCCAAATTCCGATGACACTAGAAAATCAAGAAAAGATGACTTTTACATGCCCATTCGGAAAGTTCGCTTATTAATGAATGCCCTTCGGATTATATAATGTGCCTGCCACATTTCAAAGGTGTATGCTTAGCATATTCTCAGATTATGTGGAGAAAGGTATTGAGGTCTTTATGGACGATTTCACGACATACAATAACTCTTTCAACGAATGCCTTCTCTAACCAAAATATTGAAGCGATGCCTAGAATACAACATGGTTTTAAACTATGAAAAATGTTATTTTATGGTCGATAAGGGGTTGATTCTAGGCCATATCGTTTCTTCTTATGGAATTGCGGTGGACAAAGCCAAAACAAATATTAGACACTCACTCCCTACCCCACAACAGTAAGGGAAGTTTGATATTTTCTTGGTCATGCAGGCTTCTACCGTATGTTTATTAAAGATTTTTCGAATATAGCTCAAACACTATGCAATTTACTTCAAAAAGATCAAGTCTTCGACTTTAGTTCGGAATGCGAAGATTCATTTGATATATTGAAAGATAAACTCGTGTCGGCTATGATTGTGAAAGCACCGAATTGAGAATACCCCTTCGAGCTTATGTGTGATGCATCGAACACCAGTGTTGACGCCATTTTTGGTCAAAAGATCGATAAAGAGCCCTACATTATCGCTTATGCATCTTGGACTTTGTATTCGGTGCAGAAAAATTATTCTACGACAAAAAAAAAACGGTTTGCTATAATTTTTTTCCAGAAAAATTTATATTGTATTTGTTTGGAACTAAAATTGTAGTTTTTCTGATCATGCAACATTACCATATCTGATAAGCAAAAAGAAAGCAAAACCGAGACTTATACGATGGATCTTATTACTTCAAGAATTCGACTTGAAAATTAAAGATAAAAAGGAGGCGAAAACTTAGTTGCTTGGAAATTTGTGGAGTAATTTAGGGTCAATTTTATAATTAATTATTAATGATGACTGTTTGTGATGAAATGTGGTGTATTTATTAAAGCGGTAATAACGAAATAATCACCTCCTAAAATAATGACCCTATCTGATTTAAAGGTGTATCTAATAAATGTATAAATTTATAAAGAGGAGTGTCGGTAATAGTCAAAAAAATGAGTAATTTAAGTTGAGGAAAAATTAGTAGATGAATCCAGTTTATCGTTGTTCTAATTAATAAGATTTAATAGTTTCATTATTTTTAAAATAAATTTTTAATCATTTTATATGTAAATAAGAAGTAAATAATTATTTAAAAATTACTTTGAGGTTAAAATCACAGATAACGTAATAAATCGAATTCAATCAAATAATTTCTCTACGTGGAGTACGTGGAGGGATTGAAGACTTACCAACGATTTTCTTCGGAGAGACTATGCAATTCATCATATTTGATTTGTACATAAACCTGATGAGATTTTATGTGTTACTAAAACAATTATTATGATATATGATATATTTTACTAAAACTATTGTAATGGATGTTTGACCATTAAGGTAAGTTTTGCATGACCAGAGATCTCAACTCCTTGTTAAGGGGATCCTTTTTAATCGAGAGGTTTGTCCAGATTATAACATTGGTTACATGCAATTATATAATAAAACACCTCCTAACTAGTTGCACCTAACGAATTTTGAAATTAAACTAACAGCAACAACACACTTGATCATAATATGAAATTACTACGAAACCTTATCGGTGTACAGCTGAATTTTCATGTCTCATCGCACGTCTCCTTTAGTCAGAACAATGTCATCACTGGGTGTTTTTGACTTGCCTTTAACATGTTATTCTGCTTAGGATGGGGACTAGACTTGAATCCGACGAGTTTCGATTTGATTCGGTTTGATTGAGTTAGATTTTTTTTTTAAAATCGGATTAATCAGATTTTTCAGAAAATATATTCGGATTGGGTTTGAGTTTAGGTGAAAATTCCCGATCCGACTCAACCTGAAAAATTACCTTTTATGTTTAGAGATAATTATAATAATAATCCTATATATATAATTTTTTTTTCAATTAGATCTTAGTGCGTCTCAACGAAGAAGCTTAGAAAATGTACCAAAAATCTTTTCCAACCTTCTCCTTATTTATTAACTAACCAACCCCAAAAAAACGTAACAGATTAAACACAGAACGTTCAATTCCAACGGTGTTGGCTAAACCATATAGGGTAAAAGAAAAAGAGCCAAAAAAGAAAGAGGGTGAGAGAGAGAGAGCCGAGGAGGAGGGTGGCATGAATGGCGTGGCCGACGGTGGAGATGGAGGAGGTTACAGCTGCTAGTTATGGTTGCTCCATGTTCCGCCAAGAGAAGCCTACGCTTCAAATCCTAGCCTTCGAGGCCGCCAAAAACATGTCAGTTCTCGTTTCCTTGTATAAATCTCTGACCCACGACGAATTCCTCAAGCTACGCAACGGTCCCATGAAGTCCCCTGGCGTTGCGTTCTTGAACTCCACCGACGAAACTTATCTTCTCGGCCTTGCATGTAAAGAGAAGCTCGAGGATCTCAACCACATCGCCTCCGTGGTTTCACGTTTGAGTAAAAGATGCGTTGATGAAGAACTCAGCAGGTTCGAAACCGCTTACCAGAACATGAAACATGGAACCACCATTGATATCAGCAACCTCGATTTTAACTCCAAGAAGGCTGGGAAGATCATTGAGAAGATGGAGACATACGCAAGCGCAACGTCTTCGCTATACACCGCCATGGAAGACCTCAAGAAGTTGGAGTTATATGAGAAAAGAAAACAGAGATCGAGGACAAATGAGAAAATCTGTTTCCAAAGGAAACATGTTCGACATTTAAAACAGGTTTCCCTATGGAACAAAACATTCGATAAGATCGTTGCGCTAATGGCACGAATCATCTGCACTGTTTACGCGAGGATCTGCGTCGTTTTTGAACCCTTTGTTCCAAGCCTTCTCTCCACCACCACCGTCACCACAGCCAATTGTTTTTCCTTCAGGCGCCTCTACGTTTCACACCTAAAGGCTTTCCACATGAAAAAGAATAACAAGCAAAAAGCCTCGAAATCGAGTCCGATACTCTCTGGTGTCACCATGAACAACAAATCCTCCAACATTAAAACCAACGTAAACCAAAGGTTGATACAATCAGCTCCGCCGAACACAGTAGGAGCGGCAGGGCTCACCGCCCGTTACGCAAACATAATCGTCATGACGGAGACTTACTTCTATTCGACGGCGCTCATCACCGACGCAGCACGGAAGCACATGTTCGAGATTTTACCAGTAAACCTTAAACAAACGCTGAGAGGGAAGCTGAGAAGCCATTGGTACAAGGTTGAGCGTGAAGGGAAGGGGTTGGAAGAAGGGTGGAAAGAGGCGTTGGAGGAAATAATACGGTGGTTGGCTCCAGTAGCTCACGATACACTAATATGGCAGCAAGAGAGGAACTTGGAACAGCAAAAACTTGTTGCAAAGCCCACAGTTCTCTTGTTCCAGACGCTGCACTTCTCGGATTTGGAGAAAACGGAGGCAGCCATCGTGGAGTTATTGGTAGGGTTGAGTTGTATATATTGGTACGAGAATCGTCGGAGGTGAATGGTAAATCACGGCGACCGTAATTTAGTACTACGACAAGGAACGCAGCGTTAGTACGCGACAATGAAGACGATTATTGGCTTGCTTTGATTAGGGGGTTTAACTTATATTGATTGATTCATTTATAAATGTTAATTTCCAAGTGGGAAATAAGGAACCGAGGGCCTTCTATATGATTGTGTAGGAAGAGCAGTTATGCATCAATTTCACTTGTTCCCATTCATACAAACACTGGCTTTGCTGAGAATAGTTTGCTTAGCGTCTCTTTTTGGGTCAAAATCTTGCCCATAGTAAACAAAGGCCTTCAAACTTTGTGGGTTAAACTAACTTCCTTCATTAGATGCCCTAGTTTGTGAAGTCTCAAGGCCTGCCAAGTTAACTCGGGCGTCGGGCATTGTTCAATTCATTCACTTCTTACAACACTCAATATCTGATCAAGACGATCTAATCCGAATATCAAATGTTATAAATTTATTTCAAAACATATGTATTTTTTTACTTTTTAATTATTCAACATACATCATCAACGAAGTTACGAAGGTACAATAAATTTAAATTATATAAAAGTGGGCAAACAATCTAAGTACCATTTTGACCGATTCCATGATAAATTTAGCTTTTAATTGCATTTTAAACCCAAATACCATTTTGTAGAATAACAAACTTGTTTCAGAGTACGAACTAAACGATATTAGTGGTAAAAAAATTAAAGGAAGACAAAACAAAACAATAGATGTCCTCTTCCAAAATAAACAGGAAATCTTAAAACTTTTGGAGTTTTTCCTCTTGTGTTCTAAGACTTTATCTTGATTGAATCAAACCGATTTAAGACATACGTCTGATTTTGATGAATGAATATTTTAACGAATTTTCTCAAAATCTTATTTAAACAACATCATGCTTTTACACTTAAATCAAGCCCTTGTTACTAAACTTGTGGCGTCCTTTTAATGCAAAGCAGCAGCTGTATTTGACTCTGAAAATAAGTCAGAGATATACCAATCAGTATAATATAATATATGTGATGATCAAGCTGCGAAATTTCATCCCCATTTCTATACAGCTTGCGTACACACCAGGGAAGTAAACAAAATTATTTTTTATGCGAAATGGGACTCTACCCATCCATGTCAATCATTGACTTTAATCATCCAAAACTAAGACATTGATCATATTTTAATTTCACTGTCAATCTGTTAAACTGAAGAGAATAATATATCCTGTTAAACTTACACAAATTTAACAACAGCTGAGGTAGAATTTTCTTCTTCTTTTAATTTAGATATAACTCACGTATATAAACTATTGTTCAAACTCGGATAATGAAAGGAGAACAAAATTCCTTTTAACCACTAAAATCACTCTAAGATTTCGGGTGGGGATAGAGTTGATTAGTTAAGAGAGAGAGCAAAAACACTTATCCTTTTATCATTCTCTTCTTTTCAAAAGATTGATTGTGATGCACCAACCGCTTGATACCGTAATATAGAGACTTTTTTTTAACAGAGTCTCAAACAAGACCAAATTTCCTGCTATTCAACGGTTTACTTGTGAGAATCGAAATACAACTTGACTCAATTTGCAGTAACTATCCATGCTCAAATCTAGAAAAACCAGAAAAAAAACAAAAAGTCATAGTTTATTTTTCTTCTTCTTCGTGGACAATGCAGCTAAGAAACTATTTAAATATAGCACTAATATCAGAAAACTTTGCATACCCATCCTTCACCTTAACGTAGCCAAGCCAAAAATGGCCACAAAAGCCATCCTTTTGATTCTCATCTGCCTCACTTTCCATCCATTTCTGGGTTGTTCCCAAGGCTTGCCCAGGTTCAACAACAATACTGACCAGGAATCTCTTCTTGTATTAAGGTCCCATATAACTCATGATCCTCTTGGTGTTCTTGGGACTTGGAATCTCAATTCTCCCTTCTGCAATTGGACTGGTATTACTTGTAATGTCACTAAACAGAGAGTTACAAGCATCGACCTTGAGAACCTTGGCTTTGTGGGCACCATTCCTCCTCACATTGGTAACCTTTCATTTCTCAGCTACCTCAACCTTCAAAACAACAGTCTCTTTGGTAGCATTCCGCAAGAAATCGGTCGGCTTTTTCGGTTACGAACACTCATTCTTGGTTCTAATCGAATTCGAGGAACGATTCCGGTGTCGTTAAGTTTATGTTCAAGGCTTTCTTATCTTGATCTGTCGATCAACCGGCTCGAGGGTACCATTCCAAGTGAGTTAGGTGCACTTTCGGAGCTTGCAAACGTATCTTTCTCGACGAATTTTCTCACAGGTCATATTCCGTCTTCATTTGCAAATCTCTCGTCGTTGTCGAATCTGGTTCTGATGTCAAACAGTTTGAAAGGGCCTCTACCAGAAGGGTTAGGCCGCCTTCCGTTCTTAATCAATCTTCAAATAGGCCTTAACAACATCTCTGGTGACATCCACGTTCATTGTTCAATTGTTCCTCATTGATTGTCTTAGCCATGGCTGCCAATAGGCTCACAGGTACCCTTCCGACGGACATGTTCACTAATCTTACTAGCTTATCAACGCTTTTCTTGGGAGGGAATCTTCTGTCCGGACGCATACCACCATCCATTGGCTATGCTTCGAGCTTAACTCGAGTCGACCTCGCAAACAACAGCTTCAGTGGCCAAATCCCATGGCTAGGGAAACTACCAAATATTCGAATATTAAGCTTACAGAGTAATCAGCTGGTTAATGATGAACCAAGAGGCATGGATTTCCTTACTTCTTTGGCAAATTCTCCCCAACTTGAAGTATTTTCGGTGGCTGAAAACCTTCTTACCGGTAAACTTCCGTCTTCCATAGGCAACCTCTCAAGACAACTTTCATTGTTGGTGATGAACAACAACTTTTTCCAAGGAACATTGCCTAGAGAAATAAGCAATCTGGTCAATGTAACCCTGTTCGCTTTTGAACACAATTCCTTAACCGGAAACATTCCATCTTCAATAGGAACTTTGCCAAATTTGCAGTACATTTTCTTACAAGAAAACAGATTCTCAGGAAAGATACCAGAGTCTCTGGGAAACCTGACATATTTGGCTGAAGTTCATCTAAGCAACAATCTCTTAGAAGGAACCATTCCGTCAAGTTTCGGAAACTGTCAGCGTCTTCAGTTGCTAGACCTTTCAGTTAACTTGCTTAATGGTACCATACCACCAGATATATTTCGAATCCCGAGTTTCGGTAAGGTCTTGAACCTCTCTTTCAATTCTTTAACCGGATCTGTTCCATCCGACATCGGTAGTCTAAATATGATTCAAGCGATAGACTTCTCGAGTAACCGATTATCTGGGGGTATACCTTTCACCATTGGAGATTGTTCAAGCCTTATGTATTTGGATATGTCTAGAAACTCATTTCAGGGAACCATACCAAATTCTCTAGACAAATTGAGAGGGATAGAGTATATTGATATCTCTTCAAACAATCTCACCGGTAACATCCCGGCTTCTTTAGAATCTTTAAGGTTCTTGCAAGTTTTAAACCTGTCCAGGAACCAACTCTCAGGGGAGGTTCCAACAGCAGGGATTTTCGGAAACTTGACAGTCGTTTCTGTTTCCGAAAATCTCAAGCTTTGTGGTGGAGTACCTGACTTGGAACTACCCAAATGCGATTCTCCTCGAGAGAAGTCCAGTGGTTTGAGATTGAGAATTGTACTAATAGCGACGTTTGCATCGATTGCATTCATCTTGGCTTCTGTGTTAGTCTTCTGGTTAGTGAGTAGAAAGAAAGATTTGGGCGTCCATCAGGTTAAGGAGGAAGCGGATTCACTGGAGATATATCCGATGTATAGGCAACACGATCTCAAACTCGCCACTCGGAATTTCAGTTCAGAGTGTTTGATTGGAGAGGGTAGCTTTGGATCAGTTTACAAGGGTGTTCTAAATGATGGAAGTGTAGTAGCTATCAAGGTCTTCAAAATGGGACAACATGGAGCTTCCAAGAGCTTTCTAGCAGAATGCGAAGCTCTTCGACGTATCCGACACCGGAACCTCGTTAAAATCATAAGTGTATGTTCAGCAGGCGATTTCAAGGCACTAGTACTTAAGTTCATGCCAAATGGAAACTTGGAACAATTACTTCACCCAAGAAGTGAAGCTTCTGAGGTAGGAAAAGCTCTTGGAATGAACCAGAGATTGAATGTAGCTGAAGATGTTGCCTCAGCACTGGAGTACCTGCATCATGATTGCGAAACCCCAGTCGTGCACTGCGATCTCAAGCCGAGTAACGTTCTCCTGGACGAAGAAATGTCGGCTCATCTCACCGATTTCGGACTTGCAAGAATCCTACTTAGAAATTCTCCCAATGCTCATTTTAGTAGTTCACTTGGACTAAAAGGTTCAATTGGCTACATGGCTCCAGGTAATGTTTTGTATTGATTTTATCTACTGTTTTAAGTCATCCGAAAGCTGATCATATTGAGTAATGCAGAATACGGCACTGGTGCTGGCGTGTCAACACGAGGCGATGTCTACAGTTTCGGTATAGTGATCCTTGAGATGTATACGAGGAAAAGACCAGTGGAGAAATGGATTTGCAGAAATGGGTTTCAATGCATCTTCCTGGTAATTTCCAGGACATTGTGGATCATGAACTTAAGCAGAAAGAATGGCAGCCGGCATACGATGACGGCATCGGCCGAATGTTAGAAATGGGATTGATGTGTGCAAGTAAATCACCTGTAGAACGACCAACCATGAGAGAAGTCTCTGTAATGATAAAAAATGTCAAGGCAAGTTTATCAGAGTGATAGTAATGTATTATAATTATAATCGGTAGGGTCTGTATGAATCATCAAAAGGAAAACGATGTTGATGCTTCATTTCATGAATAAAATATATATTATGAAAATTACTCCCCTATTGGGAGCCATTGCTCGACAAGTGTGCTTTGCGCTAGAGGCATGCAAGTTCATAGCAAGTTCTGTTCAGATTTTTCTCTATGGTGGATTTGAAAAGTATACGTATATGCTAAAATTCTAAAATAAGATTTATTAATATAAGGTTAAAAGAAGGTAGAAGTCGATTACAATCGAAAATTTTATTAAGAGTGTAATTGTTTGAATTGGACAAAATAACATTTTAGATTAAAACCGAAAATTTTACAACTGAAAATGTTTAAATTTGTATAACTTGTTCGGTTGTAAACCTTAACCCTCGCAGTGTAACTTTTCAATTACAGCCTATAATGTTACAAATTTATATAAACCTTTTATGTAACAATAATGTTACAACCTAAATTTGTTTCTTTTCATACATATAATAATATGACTTGGTCTTATGGTTTTATTAACAAGGGATGTTATAAGTATATATGTATAGTTTGAGATAAAATTGGAATGTTTAAAAAGTTTGAGGATCAATTTAGAATGAATGTCATAGTTTGGGGATGAAATTGGAATATTTAAAAGTATAGAGACCAATTTAAAATAATGATCATACTTTGAGGACATGTGATGTAATTAAATCTAAATATTTATATATTTTTGGATGGTTGTTCGATGAAATTAGTTTTAAAATAATAATTTTTATTATTTAATTTTTTTAACAAACACTCTAAACCTATGACAAATATCAATTTAACTTTTGCACTTTAAATAAATCATCAATTTTACTCTTTAGTCTTATCAAAATTCTTTGTCGTTAACTGTTGCTAACCGCCATTGCATTAATTATTGATTAACATAAATTAATATCACTGACAAACGTCGTAATTATCAAATAAATAAGTCTTTTCTCAGATAAATAAAATATAAAAGTAGTATAGAGAAGGAAGGGTCGATCTCCAAGGATTTAGAAATTTCCAATGTCGATTTGAATTGATCTTTAACTAAGAAATATGTAAGAAAAACAAAGAAGATGTTTAACAAAATAAATTAAATAAATTGAAAATAAATAAATAAATAATGCAAGAACAATAAAAGATTGAAAATAATTATTATGAGAGATACCCTCTAGCTTCGCTTCGCCTCAATCACTGAAATAGATTTTACTTTAGATACTTGTCGGTTACAATCTACAATGTCCAACCCTTGTAAACTTGCTCTTCTCTCTAGTAAACTAATTTTCCAAAGCTAATCCTTGGAATTTAGCCCTTGTTTGGATTAATGTAGACTATTGACGTTAACGCCAATGTTGTGTTTCAGTACTAGAAAAGATCGTGCTCGAATTACAGTGTCTCGATGAGAATCGAGCTCGATCTTGATTTCTCTTAGCGGGTTGTAGCTAAATTTGTACTTATGGAGTTGAAGTTACTACAAGCCGACTCTTCTCCCCAACAGTAAATCACAACGTCGATCAATCCAATGTGCACTCTTTGGATTGAAGGTGTCGAGATGCTTGAAGGAAAGGTCGATTGCTAGTCCTATATTGCCGAAAATCAAGAAAAAAAATCGGAAGATATTAAGCGCATTTTCAATTCTCACGAAACGGATTGAGTCATCGCTCAACTATCAGCTAAATGGAAGTGTAGTTAAGCATCATAGAAATCATACTTAGCATATAAAAGAAAATAAAGAAAATAAAGAAGATGAAGAAGAAAAGTAATCTTTATAAAAATCCTAAAACTAATTAGCGCCAAAAGCAGTACATGTTTTTTAAGCTTCACCCTAAGAGTATTTATCGCTTGAGATATCCTAAAGAAAATAAAATTCCTAAAGATAATTCTAAAAGCATTCAAATGCTTAAATCGTAAATAATAGAAAACTAGAATCCTGAATAATTAAATAATAAATCCAAAATATTTAAATTCGATTACAATTCTTAAGTCCTAAAGAGTTTTTGTTCGTATGGCATTCCTCCTTGATTTCATTGTCTGGATCGTTTTCTAGAAGCTACCGCCGATTGGACTGCAGATTCTATCACGTCGACATCGTCATGCCTAAAGTCATGCCCATGTGTTCGGGTTTGATTCCAAAAAAATAAAGAAAATATGCAGAATTCACACTTTAAATGTTGTTTTCTGGAAAATAGAGTTATGCACAAAATTGAACATAAACAACCTAAATTAGCAATATCAAAAAGATAGCACGGAGTAATTAGCAACATAATATTAACAAAACAAAACACTCATCAAATTCTCTCTCACTTATTCAATGTTTGTCCACAAGGATGCCTTAATCAATCGTTAAAATCTCAAATTACCAATCTTTCATCTCATAGTATATCAAAGAGCACCAAACGAGTTAATGATCACATCAATTATCGGAAACAAGGTGACAATTAAGCAAATTGGCACATATAGTAACAAGTTTAAGCAAAAACCAAGATATCTCAATTATCCATTAATTACAATGTAACAAGACTCAATATCTCACTAGGATTTACTCATTGTCACTCATAGTGTTTCAGGTAAAAGAAATAGCTCAAAGCCAAGATTAATAAAGACATTATCATAAGCTTGTAAGAAAATCAAGTCTAAACCACTAGAATGAACAAGATACATTTATCAAAGGGTCTTTAATAAGGTTGTAACGAAGCTTAGGTTAGGGTAGGGATAGGGGCGAAAAATTGGGTTTAAATGTCAAGACAAAAGATGCAAAATTATGTAAGTTCAAGCCACGAATTCAAAAAGGTAAACAAACTCAAATCAGTGTAATCAAATAATCAACTTTTTCTCTCTTCCTATTTTTTTTTTAAATTATTTTACTATTTTTCTAATTTTTTGTTCTGTTCGAACACTTATTCAAACTAGAACTTTTTTTTCTTTTCGAATACTTCTTCTTCTCTCTATCTTTTTTTTCATAGAATAAATCTATCTCCTTTCTTGACACGGGTAACAAAAGAGGGTAAAAACTAATAAAAATGTTTCGAGTTAATAATAGGGTAAAAACAAAGAAAGTGTAAAGGCACAAAGTTGGTTCAATAATATATATAAATGGGTAGGCAATTTGGGTAGAGAAATAGGTTAATTGTAAGTGCCCTAATCATATTAAAGCATCAAGTTCAACACGTAGTCTTGATATGCATTTAATCACAAGTTCTAGAATGTCAAAATTAATTTAGCACACTCAATCAAACAAACGAGCAATAATAAAAGGTATGCTCGTTTAAACTCAAATCTCACAAGAAAGTGTATTGTGTATCGAGTCAAAAAACATATCAACCAATGAACTCATGGAATATCAATAAAATTTTTATAGAAAATGTCAATCATGTCGTTTCACTATCATGCACCCTAAATCTGATAAAAGTTGAATCACAAACTAATAAGATAATCAAAGAAACAAAGCAAAAAATCAAGATTAATAGCAAGAGATTTCAACAAATTAACCAAGACAACTCAATTTCAAGCATATAAACAAGCGAGCGATAATTTGATGCAAGTGTTCTCTACCCCATCACTTAAAGCATATTGTCCCAATATGAAAAAAATAAAGAATAGTAGAAGGAATAGAGATACTCCCCCTGTTTAGTGATGTTTGTGGTTAAAATAAAATGATGGAGAATGTATCAGAGTACGGATCGATGTCGAAGTTTGTAACACCCTAATCTGATATGACACACAGTCGACCAATTAGGACGTCACACGGGGCCACTAGAGCGGTTAACTCAAAAGTTTTCTTTTTTAAAATGACCATAAAATACTATTTAATAATCACCCAAGTTTTATAAATTGAGAAACATAATAGTTATACGTTTACAATACCGGGGAGCTCCCAAAATAGTATATCAAAATAGTACAACCGAATATCAAAGTAAGTTATGACTTAGATACATGAAGGTCTATAAATATTACATGTCCACTAAAATAAGGCTCAAGATATACTTGGACTACATGGATGTCTGGAACGTCTGCGATCGACCAGCTCCTCGAATACTCCTCCTAACGACCTACAAACGGAAACACAATTCTGAAATCTAAGCTCACTAACCCAGTGCCACACTAACAACAATATCATACTAAAAGTGTTCACTAATACACATGATATTGAGTACAAAGACATAAAGTGAGTATGCTCGCATGCTCATGCTAATCTAGGGTAGACATCATAGTACGCCTGAGGGATTACTATATCTTGGAGCTCATGCATCCCTCTAGTCTACATAGGATGGGGATCCAAAAAAACACTACGTCAGATCTGACACTCAACTAACCCATCCCTTGCGAGTGTTGAGGCCTTGTGCCATAGTTAGTCTCAAGTGTCTTATGCACTACCTAAGGATATCCGGACAATCTATACTTCGAGGTTATTATCATTAACTAAAGTAACTTGGGTGTCCTTGTCGTTTTTTCAAGCGTCAAACAAGGCTAGTTTTATGTTCTCCTATTTAATAGTGTTTCTAAATATAATTGATCATTAATGGGTGTTCTCGCTTGAATTCTTATTCGTGGTTATTAAGGCGTTATTGGGTCCTTCAATTATCTTTCTAAAATCATTTGGGTTTCTTACCCAAAAATGTTCGAGGGTATCGATTCTCACCCTTGAGTATCAATACTAGGGAGTCAAAACAGATTGAAATTTTAGGGGTAGTATCGATACTACTAGTCCAATATCGATACTCTCAGGCTTGGGTATTGATACTGACTCGGGTATTGATATCAATTTTTGCTTTGATGTTTCTAAAAATTACCTCAATATCGATACCCCTATGGAGAGCATCGATACTCTACCCTTGGTATCGATACCCCCATGATCGATACCAAAATAGCCTACTGTAATTGGCCAATACTGCTTGGTATAGATACCACCTTGTGAGTATCGATACCAGGCCATCAGTATCGATACCACCCTTTAAAGAGGTATCGATACTTCTCTTCCTAAAATCCCTTTGTTTTTAATGGA